GGGTTCAGCAGGCCATCTGGGACTCGCAAATCACACCAGAATGCCAATGGTGTGGCCAACCGGACACAAAATACCATCGGTTTTTCAGTTGCACTGCCACATGTGCTGTTCGCGAACCCTTCCATGAGTTGCTTACCCAACTTGATTCTGTTGATTGCCTCTGGCCGGAACTTCCTGTGTTGTTTGAAGATCCTAAGGATGACTTTCGCCTCACCTTTCAATATAATCTGCAAGAGGGTCAACCCCCGGCTGAGCTCATTCAGAACTTGATAGCATGCATTGATGAACAAAATCCGCTTCATGTGTATACTGATGGTAGTTGTCAACATCCCACCATGCCATCTCTCTGCTTTGCGGGTTACAGTGTTGTCATTGATTGATGCCGTTCAGACTCAGAGCGCATTTGGCAGGCCCAGCGATTCAAAGAAACTGGCATTCGGCCCACGACTCTTCATGTGGTTCTCCAAGAACTTTGTCCCCAGAATCAGGATATTCATCACGCTGAACTCCGAAGCTTGATTCGGGCGCAAGAACTCTTTAGACACGCCATTATTCATGTTGATTCATCAAGTGCTATTGCCACTTTCCAGAAATCTTTGCATACTGTTGGGCATGAGTTCCATGGGCACCCTCAGCCTGCCTTAGGTCGACGGATCCAGCAGCTGCCCAATGTAATTTACAATCAAGTAGTTAAGATTAAGGGACATGCTGATTCGCACAGTCTGACGGACCTAGAGTGTTATCACAGCTTGGGCAACTCACTCGCTGATTTTGCTGCAGTTCAAGTTTGTACCATTCAATTGCCTGCCTTGACACAGGAGTGGACTCAGCTGGTTCATGAACGTCAGGGTGAGATCCAACAACTTGCTGATTTTTACCGCTTGTCTTTGGCTCTTCAGAAGTATCGCCGGGAGTTTAAGTCCACGGTGCCAGGGTCCATCCATCCGGATGAACCACATCCGCAACATCGTGCTAGCCTTGTTGCGCAGAAGTTTGCTGCTTGGTCTGTCCCTCAACCGTGGAGCTTTGTTCTTGAAGAGGCTCACCAAGGAGCATTCTTTACGTACAGCTATTGGGGATCGAGCTTGTTGCATTGCGTTCTGGACTGGCTCCATGCCCTTCAGTGGGGTCTGACCCAAGATGCAGTCCCTGAGGCGTCAGTTGGGGTTTCATGGATGGAGTTGCTGCTTAGCTTTATGTTCTTTGCTCGCAGCTTTGTGCCTGTTCGTAGAAAAGGGCTAAAGGGTGAAACTTCTTTTGCATGGGCTCGCTGTAACACCACAGCCGCAGCCTTTGGCTACACTTGGAATGAATGTGCTACACAATTTGCACACTTGGTCAACCAGACCATCTCCTTGTGTGATCGGGAAGTCATCCCGCCTTACGTCCGCAGTGCTCGAGTATGTTCCTTGTATCGGATGGGTGCTGGCTCGTGTGTCTTTGGCTGGTCTAGAAGACCTCACTTTCCTGACCAACAAAAAGTGTGCTTCATTGTGGAAGAGACATTTCGGAAAAGGCCGCGCTCTGTTGCTTATGGATGGTGGCCTGAGTTCGCCTTCCCTTTCAGAACTGAAGATGCCGGCTTTTCGTGGCAAGTCCCTTCTGGCACTCCCAACACCTTGCAGAAGCGGCTTAAGCAAGGCACGAAGTTGGCCCGCTCGTCGAAGGCCAGACGTTGACATACTACTTCCTGGAGGTCTTGATCTGAGCGCATGCATGTTGTTTTAGTTCGCTTGTTTCCGGTACCTGCTACGCCGCCCCTTCCCTGCCACCTGTGCTAGGAGGGGCCCCTCTCATCAAGGAAAAGCCATCACTAGTAGGTTGGAGGCCATGTTTCTTAGGTTGGAGGCCATCGCTCTTCGGTTGGAGGCCAATCAAATTAGATTGGAGGCCATCGCTCTTAGGTTGGAGGCCATTCGAATTAGGTCGGAGGCCATCACTAGTAGGTTGGAGGCCATTGCTTTTGGGTTTGAAGATCAAAATGTTTTCTTTTTACATGAAAAACATGCTTCCGAAGATCTCCCGCCATGAACTTTGAGGTTCCCAGAATCGACACCAGAAGCGGCCCACACTGCTCAATCCAGGCCTTCAGTGCGGTCCATGGAAAAAGACACATGGCGAAAAGGAGGTGGATCCTTTGGAGGCATGTATTACAGAGGCCCAGTGAGGCCCAAGTTGCAATCTTTAGAAAACTGGACACTAGAAGCCTCACAACTCCAATTTGCTTGGAATCAACGAGCACAGGCATGCGGAATCACGATGCATAGACATGCATAGACAGCTGTCATGGGAAAGACTTGACATGCAGCACCAGTTACAACCCTAGGAGCCTGCTCTTACCCTCTAACCCGAAAACATGTTCCTTTGCAAGAAGCTCGATGATTGAGTTCGATATTCTTCTCATCATCCCCCGGCCTTTTTTCAGCCACCTGGCGAGGGCATCGGCACCATGACAAAGGAGGCAACAGTCAACAGTGGTTGGAAAAGTATGTCCCAACAGTTGGACATCTGAGAAAAGAAGCATGTTCTTTTGCCCGTTGGCTTCTCTGATTGGCATATGGCTGCTTCTGCTAAGCGGCCACTGGCTGGATAGGTGATGAGGTGGCCGTCAGGTTGTCCACAGTCCCTGAGCCTTACAAGCCAAGCACAAACTTGCGGCCACATAAAACCGCTGACAAACTCAAAGCAGCTAACTAGTAGTTAACCAGGCTAAACTGCCAAGAAATACAAATACAGAATGGTCAAGGCCCATTGAAATGTCGTGAGCCAATGTCTAGAACCATTGCCAGAATCAGTGCCTACACATTCTGGGCAAGAAGCAGTAGAAGGCCAATTGGTAGAACAATGCAGCAAAGTCGGGGTCATGCAGAGGTGCCAGCCTTCCTGAAACAACAGCTCAGCAGCTCAGCTCAGGACAGAAATTGCATACCCCTTACGTCCGCAAAGCGCACAAGCAAGGTCATTAAAGGTCATTCGGCCTTTTAAACAAGAATAAGACACAACCATGTGCTAAGCTTGTCCATGCTTGTCCATGCCTAGCCTTCTTTGTCGAAAGTCTGCAACAAATAGAGGCAAATGGCACTACCTCAGGACGAAGCCCTGAAATGCCTTTGCAATCCCGCGCAAAAGGAACCGGGAAACAATTTGGACCGGAAACAAGTGATTGGAACTTTGATCATGGAACCGCTCTTTGCGGATTCTGCTCCGCAATGTGGCGACACCCCTTGCGACACCCCTGAAGCCCTTACCAAAGCTGCTTCAGCAAAGCCCATGCGTAAGGACTCGCAACCCCAGATATGTCAGTACGCGTTGCTTGAAGACCACTTGAAGACTAAAATATGTTGTGCCCTGCCCTTCCTGGGAACATAGCTTTAACCGTTGATGGTGTTCATATAACTCTCTTTGCTGGAAAAGCCAGCGTTGCATCCCCTCCAGCAATGCATTCAGCCAAGTCGCTGTCAAACATGACCACTCTGCCATGCGTAAATGCCTAGTAGGTTGAAAGTTGGACAACTACACAGCGAAGCAATTTCGGTGAGTGTGACGTGTCAAATTGAGTGGAGCAGCCTGAATTTGCACCAAGAAACACAGCTCCAGTACTGCGTCAGGAAGCACTGGCTAAATTGAGGGTATGATTCACTGATAAACTTGAGGCCTTGTGTGTGTGTGTGCGCCTTGAACTGCCCATGGAATGAACATGAATGAATTCACAGAAAGCCGTTTCTCGCAAGTTGGGAAGGGACATGAAGGGACCTGGTTGCCCACATCTAACGACATGAGCTAAACACTGAAGGATGAGGGTTGTCCTTGGGTACACATGCCCACACCCTCGACAACACGGAATTTTCTCACAGAAGGACGTCGGGGACCCTCGTGTACCCTCACCTGGTAGGCAGTAGGGAGGATGAGGGATGATGAGGGATGAGGATGAGGGATGACCGCCACGTAAAAGAATAGGCCAAAAAGGACAAGAAGAATCAAGAAGATAGTAAGATACACATTAGAAAGATGAAACCGCATCAGGAATCAGGAATGTGAGTCAAGGTTTAAGCAACATGCAGGTAGCACCACTTTGTACAACTCAAGGCTGGAAAATTGACCATGCGACTGCCCAAGCGCACCCAGCATTGTCAAGGCCCTAATCTTTTGGATCCTGGCCCTGTCGATTTGTTTGGAATTCTGCCAATTCTGCTGCAGCTGTCTCACTGCAGCCTAGCTGCTGGCACTTTTCCATTTGGATTTATTGCCAAATACCAGTCCGGCTTTGTCTCGCGAAAGACTTCAGGGTTGAAGACATGCACTCCTCGTCTGCATCATGTAAAAAGTCATGCACGTTGATGCAGTTCAGGCACTGCACACTGCCCCAGCCTTTTGCCATGCAAAAACTGCAATCCTGTATGCTATGCTATGCTTTTGCCATGCAATCTGAATCCGTAGTTCTGAACCCCTACCTTTTCCATCCTTTTCCTCGCCCCAACAACGCGTCTTTTTGGCTCAGTGACGGAGAGGCGGCAATGTCCCGTAGCGTGCCTGCAGCTCCTTGTGCATCCAAAGCACCCGTGTCGACCTCGACCCGTTCATGTGATACAAAACCATCTCGTCCGACATGGCCAAAGATAGGACGAAGCCGAAGCACTTTCTTGAGGGACAACAGCGAGCACATGCAACTGCATTCAAACAGTACGGTGAATCTAATACAATGAATACTGAGTTATTGGCAACCTGTCGGTTTTGTCACACGCTTGAGCCGATATGTAATGTGCCCTCTAGATGAGGGCTCGGAGACAATTCTGAAGCCTTTTGCTTGGCGTCTCCCGCAAGCCCCATGCTTCCTCCACCAGGTTTGCGAATATCTATTAATAGCGATGGCCCCCAACCTTCTTAGCTTCTGTGCCTTCTTGGAATGTGGAACGGAGTCTCACGCTGTGCGCCAAGCATGCTCCCAGATCCACACCCACATCAAATCGTGAGCGAGGGTCAGAAATGGACAATGACATGAAGATCGTGACACCCACTCTGGAGGCCATCTACAGTATTCTTTTCACTCTGGAGGCATGGTGGCCCTTCTTGGAGCTCTACTGTGCAGTGGCTTTTCCACCTCACAGTCCCCTCTGGAGATGCACATGTTGCACACCCCGCCTTGTTCAACGGAAGGATCAACAAGGCTCTCGAGGTTCACAGTGTGCGAATAATCGTGTTTTTTTGCATTTGGTGTTGCTTGCCTTGTGTTTGGGATGGTTCAACGGATCCTTTTGCTCAAGTTTGGAAGCTCTCAACAAGTCCAAAGAGCTCCTGGTCAAGAGTCAGGAGACTTCTGAGAGCTCCAAATACTGTTGAGCACCCATCCTGGGCCGGCTTGCCATGATTTCTGGATAGAGTTGCTGAAAAGCTGATGCAGCTTTCTCCGATCTTTGCGCCACACAATATGTCGTCTCATGTATATTATGTACTATTTAAAACAGTGTTTCCACATTATGTAATTGCTGAGTGGGAATCGGATGGTGTCTGAATCCTGAAGGAAGCTGAACCAACACATCAATCTTGACATTTCAACATGTGAAAGGGACACACTGCTCATGAATCCTCCCAACTGTTTTTGTTTTATCCGTTTTTCGTTCCGGCATGTTCCGTCAAGCCGAAGGTTTTTGTATGCAGCCGTGCATCAGGCTCGGTGCAGCCCGAAAAGGTGGCGGCTTAAAGACGGGTTTTCCTTGGCATTCCTCAAGGGACGCCGCGGAAGATCGGTAAAGATTGGTGATCAGAGTCTCACACGTGTTTTGAGCATGGCATAGTGCGTCAGCAATCAATGTAAGCAGTGCGGATCAATGTGGATAGTACGTTGGATTACTTAGTACTTGTGGATGTTGCTTGCAAAGAGATTCGGTCACGCCAGCACCACTGTCGATGACAAGAGTCTCGATGTATCAAGAAACCTCCAATCCCACAAGCCAAGACCTCAAAACTGCCGGTGGCCCATGCGTATACGGGCGAGGCCGTGCATTCTTCGTGTGAGACTGTTACTGCTACTGCTACTGTTAGTCTTGCTTCGGCTGGTAAAAGATGCGTTTTTGGCCCAGAGCGCTTTGCAAGCCAAGTTGGTCAACCCTTTTCCACTGCCACAATTTGGTCCAGTTCTAAGGGTTAGCTCAGTCGAAAGCAGCACAACTTCAATTGCTTGGTTGGTTAAACAACTTTCAATTGATTCGAGGGTCCAAGTTCATGTGTAATGTAGGAGTGCGACAAGGAGGGATTTTGGCAAGTGAATAGGAACATAACAGCCAAAACACAACAATATGGCAGCGGCATGATCATTTGTCTCCACAAACTTTCGCCACCGAAAAAACAAATGCATCCAACTGCCAACCCACACATGTTCAAAACGCTCATCGACTCCCACCCTCCAAAGACCTCGAAGCGTATCTCAATCCGCTGGAGCGAAAGAGAAACACGATGTCAAACATGATTTTCCAAACCGTGCCACAACTCAACACCTACACCTAGCTACACCTAGTGGTGCCAGGCGGAGACCAGTGGCCACTGTGAGCCGATTGCAAGGTCTGTCCAATTGCTTTGAGGCACTGCCACCGTGCTGGTGATCACCACGGCCATGTGCAGCATCCGATACATGGTCTCTCGAGCATAGTTGTCTGCAGCTGCAATGCCTGACGATTTTTGGGGTAGATGCGGGGAAAAACTAAAAGAAACATTAAAAACACACATTCAACTCTAGTAGGTTGGAGGCCATTGCTTTTAGGTTGGCCTTGGAGGCCATCGCTAGTAGGTTGGAGGCCATTTCTAGTAGGTTGGAGGCCATTGCTACTAGGTTGGAGGCCATGGCTAGTAGGGTGGAGGCCATGGCTAGTAGACCATGGCTATTAGGTTGGAGGCCATGGCAAGTAGGGTGGAGGCGACGCCATGGCTATTAGGTTGGAGGCCATCCCTATTAGGTTGGAGGCCATGGCAATAGGTTGGAGGTTATCGCTAGTAGGGTGGAGACCATGAGACCATGGCTATTAGGTTGGAGGCGATGGCTAGTAGGATGGAGACCATGGCGCCGTGGCTAGTAGGGTGGAGGCCATGGCTATTTTTAGGTTGGAGGCGATGGCTAGTACGGTGGAGACTATGGCTATTAGGTTGGACGCCGGGTGGAGGCCGTCGCTAATAGGGTGGAGACCATGGCTATTAGGTTCAAGTAGTAGTAGCAGGAAGAGTAGCAACAGTACTATAATAGCAGCAGTATCGTAGTGGTAGTCGTAGTGTTTCGTGGCAGGTGCAGTACTTTGTGGCCCTTTCGTGGCAGGTGCAGGACTTTGTGGATGTTGAAGTGCAGAGTTGGTGGCCAGTGGCAGGCGCAGGACTTTTTGTGGACCTTGAAGCGCAGATTTCGTGGCAGGTGTAGTACTTTGTGGCCCTTGGAGTGCAGATTTCGTGGCAGGCGCAGGACTTTGTGACCTTGAAGTGCAGATTTCGTGGCAGGTGCAGTACTTTGTGGCCCTTGGAGTGCAGATTTCGTGGCAGGCGCAGGACTTTGTGGACCTTGAAAAGGAGATTTCGTGGCAGGTGCAGGACTTTGTGGATGTGGAAGTGCAGAGTTGGTGGCCAGTGCAGGACTTTGTGGGCCTTGGAGTGCAGATTTCGTGGCAGGCGCAGGACTTTTTGATGTGGAAGTGTAGAGTTGGTGGCAGGTGCAGGACTTTGTGGCCCTTGGAGTGCAGATTTGGTGGCAGGCGCAAGACTTTGTGGACCTTGAAGTGCAGATTTCGTGGCAGGTGCAGTACTTTGTGGATGTTGAGCTGCAGATAGACAAATAGAAAGATAGAAAGATAAATGGATCGATAGCTACATAGATAGATAGATAAATAGATAGATAGATAGAGAGTGCATATTTGCTTGGTTAGACAATTTTGCACCGGGGAGTTCACCTTAAAATATTGATTTCGTGGCAGGCGCGGGTGTCGGGAATGAAGTGCAGATTTCGTGGCGCGGGGGGGG